TCCTCCACATCTTAACACTGTCTATTCTTTGTTTCCAGGTATAGCTTTCTTTGGAATAACTTGCCCATTAAAATTATGTCGTTAACTAGTCCATCCGCAATCAAACGAAGACTACACATTTATCTTAACACTGATTTAACTAACCTTTTATTCTCCTAATCTTTTCCGGGCATTTTTCTCCATTACTTCAAGAAAGGGCCATAGGGACTTCAGGATACCGTCTTAAAATTGCACCTCCTTACCTCGTGTCTTCCACGAACCATGATACCCCCTGGAATAAATATGGACGCGCACAGTCTAAACTGCCCTCGCTTCGTTGACTGCATACCATCATCAGAATTACATTCTGGCTCCTGAGATGTCAAGGCCCCACGTCCGTTGACGCTTTTCCACGAGATTTCATGCAATCATGAGTGAACTATATAGATGTTTAATTATCTCATTCTGAACTGCCATTGTAGTATTAGCCTACTTCGCCCTTTTCCTCATGTCCCTAAACATTTTTTTCTTCTACGCTCTTTTTGAAAATGGAGGCTGCCTCTAGTTTCAGTGTAGGAGATTTTTTCGCCGCCTATCTCCTAGTTCGCGACTATTTTCAAAAGGTCGCTACCTACTGTCCTAAAGGGCTACTTCTGTCTGCATAAGTACTGATGTGTGCATCCTATCTGCGTTCTTTGTCATAATTCTATTTCAAAACCAAGTTTGTTTTGATAGTGCCTCCTTGGCGCTCACAAATATTAATTTTAAAATTCAAATTGTAGTCCTAGATATAGTGTGCACACACTTTTAATCTGAATAGTGATGAAGTAAGATCGGCATAAATGAACGTATAAAATGGACAAAACACTAACTGATTAGCGGTGTACAACGGTAATTAAATCTAACAAATGTCGTGAAAATGCCAAAATCTGGAATAAAATTCATAAGAATGAGGGGAAAAGACCACTTTGAAGCCGTCCCAACACTTTCCACTCTGCCTAATAGTATGCTGGAATGGGAGGGGAGCTTCTGAAAAAACAAGCATCTAAACATTGTTGACTTTACTGCGGTCAGACAAATTATGAAAACGACAATTAACGATAATTGCCCTCCTGTGCGTTACTTGTTTGCTGACCGGCATGCGGGCCGTAACCTGCAGAACTTGCCTCACGCGTAGTGGAATTGGATTTGATGCCTACTCGGCCATCTGGTTCCCCAGTGTTGGCGTAAGACTTCGCGGTGACCTATGCATTCCCCAAGTAGCGACTGCCTATGGCCAAATTGAGCCTCAGCACTGAATATGGATTAGACAAGTCGTTGCACTTGTTTATGGACTGGGAGCCCGTGAACCATGACCCAAGTAATTCTCGGCGCACACGATTATCACCTCTTGTGAGAATTTCGGCCTCATCAGATTTGAATGTGTGGCCGGGTCTCGTCGAATGAGCCGCAACTTCGGAATTGGCATTATTTCGCTGCACTGCTGCCGTATGTCGGGCAATTTGCGTCTTGAGAAGTCTGTCAGTTTCTCCGATGAAGTTGCTTTGTCCGCAACTGCACCAGATCCTATAGATGACTCCAGACGTTTCTTGCCGTGGCAGTAGGTTTTTCGGTTTCATTGTGTGACGCCTCATGGTTGCCTCCGGCCTGTGCGTGACTCCAACTCCAAGTGGTGCGAGAAGGCGGTTGACGGCCTCCGAGACGTTTTTTACGTACGGGATCGCTCGCCAAAATTTGGGGTCGGTGCGATTTTGTTGCCCATTTCGTTTGCGCAAGCACCGGTTGACGAATTTGCGCGGGTAGCAGTTTTCTGTGAACACCCGTCGAACATATTGTATTTCGGCAAGTTTTTTTCTGGTTCATTGCAATGCGTCTCAACATGCCGATATGGCGCCTTGGGCAACTGAGTTTGTGGCTGATCGAGTAGTCGATGTTGAATTTGCATCGTGTTTGTCGTTCTCCTGAGTACCTTGGTCTTTAGGCCACCAAAATCTTTACAACAGACGTGAACATCATGGAAGACCAGCTGGTTATTCTCTTCCTCTTCCTCCTCCACCGTAAGTTGCATGTGCGAGAAGACGCTTTTGAGACGTTTCTTGAACGTGAGCACCTGATCTTATTGCAGTTGCAGTAAGAACGCTTTATTGGCGTTGTAAATTGTGATAGAAAGTTTTTTTCAAATTAATCTTAGGCATATTCATTCGCGACTTTTGTTGTGGACGTCCACTTTTCTCAGCAATGAGTTGACATGTTTGGGTGATTCTTAAACCATGGCTAAAACAGACAGCTGCATAAGAAAGAACTGTTAAACACCCGTTATCAAGGTATATGCTTTTAGGAAATATCTTATTTTGAAGGTTTTGTCAAGCAGGTTGAACATAATCCCTACTTATGGTCAATCGACTGAAGCTAGTTAAAATCGTAAAGTGGTAATTACCATTTCAAGAACCATCTGAACCTCGTCGTAATCAAAATCCCACATAATTACAAAGAAATGTGGCGTAAGAAACTTTCTCATAGTATACTGACTGAAATAATGGCACTTTTACGATTGCGCCAGACGATTCCATTTAACTGTATTAGTCACTGGCAGGCACGTCCGCACGTGAGCTTACCAAATATTTTACTCCTGTGACCTCGCAATCGGCCAAATCAAGCGAACATCTAGTCGCCTTAGTCCAACGTAACTAAAGCAATGTATAAACGGAATTAACCTCTAGGAATTCTCGTGAAACGATATTGGAATACATCCTTGAACTTTGAGCTGCTCGGTAACAGCCATTACATTGCACATATTATGGAAGTAAATGTATTCGAAAATTTTACAAATCGATTATTTTTATTAAACTTGCGCTGCTTTATTCATATTCACTCGGTTATTTGCACGGACAGGTTTCCTCCATATTTAAACCTTAAGTTTACCTAGAACGCTCGATTTCCACGTTTTCGGAATATTCCGTCTTGCTAAAAAGTTGGTATTTCTAAACAACGTAATATTCCTTGATAAATCGGAATGTGCCCTATTATGAAGAACGCCAATTACTTTATTGCTCTAAGACTTTGGGGGCACAGCTTGGACGGCGTTTGCGTAACAGGGAGTTTATTGTAAAAATACTTGGATTTCATGAGTTATAACGCCTACTGTAGACGGACTGTACAGTTTACAAAACATGGACAGAGGAGGGAGTGCATAGTCCTTAGCCACGTTTATCTATCTGGTAAGGCTGTCCACACTAACTGGGAAATATCCACCTAGCATTCACCGTACAAGATCTTTTAGGAGTTCTCATCGGTCAGACCGTTTTGTTTTCGGCAATACGTCTTCCAAACATGGGGCTTAGACTCGATTTGTAGACGCCTCGTTATAGCGCTGTCCTTCTCTGTTTACTCGACGAGGGACTCCTCAGAATGTTGAACCTTCTCCTAAAGGAGGAAACAACGCTGCCTGTTTGTATGGACTCGCGTCTCTTGGCCACAGTGATAACAGGTTTCTCAGAATCATAATTCAGGACGAAGCACGGATTTTTGAATCGGAGAGAACCACTAAAGGAGACTGATTATTACAAAACATTAATGTTGGATGCAAAAACTTCCATTTTATTCCTCAGAAATGTCGATGCACCACCTGACTAAATGGTATCGTTCCCTGACTTTACTGAGTACCAAGTGCTAGCAAGAAAAAATCATACTAAGCCTAAACAAATGAGGGCACTAAATAAATGTTAATTTCGTCTATTTAAAGAGGAGCCCAACGATGATTGGCCGAAAACATGCCCATGCTCATGCTGACTTAGTCCGTTGAAGGAGATTTCGCGAAAGGGGACAATGCGAGTGAAAGAAGACCTTATAAAATTGCATTCATGGGTTAATATTCATCATTTTCGAGACCAAGGAAAAACAACAAACCGAACGTAACAAAAGTTCACAAAAATGTATGTGCGGCCTTTGAAAGAACATAATCACATAATTCAGTTGACCTAATTTTGAAAAATTCGCGGCCTCAATGGGAGTCGAACCCACACAACAGGGGGACTTTTGCGCAGCCAACACTCTACCATTGAGCTACGAAGCTAACCGTAAGCTGTGAATTCAAAGCTGCCTAACCATACTCATAATTACCTAAATATATTCTAATCGAAAAATGATCTCAATTTTATTGAAAAAGTGAGTAACAGTCTGATTCCCATTTGAAAGGCTCTTTTGAAGACGGATGAAATATTTTTGTTGAATAAGTAACCACCCTGTTCAAGTCCTTCAGTTTGCATTCGCTGAGAAATCGAATTTTGGCAGACTGATCAGTTTTCATGGCAAGATTATCGACACCAGTGCCTTGGTGTCATTAAAAAATAGCGCTATGGGTAGATTTTCGGGTCACTTGCTAGCTAGATGTTTGCTTTTACTGGACCATAATATTGCGCGATATTACACTTGAAATTTTGGATCAGTGGATTTGCAACTTCAGCGGAGTATGTTACAGTGTTTACCGTTTCAAAGAGAAACAAAGTAAACTCGATTTGCGAACAAGAGATCAAGAAACGAGTGGAAATCGTCAGCGATATGACCACTTTCTGTAAAATATCGGTGCGAATGATAAAAACGGAATCCGTATCGTCCTAAAGAAAGTGTCTAAAAACTAAAAGATTTAGAAGTAAATCATCCGGTCTAATTCACCGGTCGATGTACAAGAATAGCTTAACCATACTGTCAGAACGGCATTGTTCGATGAACGAGGCCTGCGTTTGCTGCCGAATACCTTTATATGCAGTTCTCTTTAGACTGCTCGTATGTAATCTACGTAGGATCGATACAACTGGGAGCCTTGTCAAATAGGTATGGACTTTATTCAGTCAAACATCTAAACTAGTGCAGGTGGGAATTTTCAGCTTTGAGGGTATAACGTTTCCCAGTGAATTACGCTCAGAGCATGCAATTCTTTTATTATAACACATCATAAAATATCTGAAATAATTTCAGGGGAGAAGATTATATTTATTGAGAACTTCGAGATGCGGTGGGCAACCACAAGCCCAGAGAATGGAGTACAGACACAAGAAAATTCTGACCATTTACAGAAACAGCTTCCCTAAACGATAGTAAATCCCAACTTTCCTGAAATCGGAGTTTTTTACTGTCTTTCTGAAAAATACCGTCTCAGAAAACACTTACCAGCTGTCAGATCAGAAACGAGAATACGTAGACGAAGAAAGAGGTATCGATATATGAATGCCCTAGAAACGGATGTCTGTATGGTGCAGATACTTATGGTAGATGTTTACATAATATTCCAAATCACAAAGTAACGTCATTAGCGTCTTCGGTGGGATTTAAAAGTTTTTTTGGCAAGCTTTGATGAGCAGTCGGCAGACTCCGTGTTTCGTGACTGACTCTTCATATATTTGAATACCCAGTTCAGGTGGATACAAACTGCAGCCTTTTGAAAAAGTACGACAAACAGTAGAACTTGGCCAGTAATGTAAGACGCTGAACACATTTTGGCACAGATAAACTATGAAAACAAAGCAGGCTTGATTCACTGTTTGGGCTAGTTCGTTCTGCCATATAGTTTTGAAACCTGAAGTAAATTCAATCTTCATGCCAAAAGCCGAGTTTTTTTTTCATTCAGACCCCATAAGTCATCAAGGACTAGTCACTGACGTGAGATACGTCCATCAATCTGTGTTCGAGTATACGTTATCAGATGTCTATCTTCAGACAGGCTGTCGGGTTGGCTTACGGTCTGTGGTCAGTTGGCTGCGCAAACCCATAAGTACAGCCACACACTGAGACTGTGTTGGCACGTTCAGGCGACAGCTTCACAATGCGCTAACCACTGTCCTCAATCCCAGCACCAGATAGCTGACATTCTCATGACAAGCGGTACATTCCTTAATATAATAAAGTTGTTGGATTCGAGGTAAATACTCCCCCCGTACTGCAACTGTCCTTAATCTAAATGTCAGGGGTATCAGGGTAGTCCAACTTTAACTGTAAATTTTATCTACATTAAAGCGAACCCCTTTCAACCCAACTGATACCTAACGCTAACCCCCTGGAATTTAGTGCAAATAAACCTGTAATACCAGTGCTGCCTGAAACTGTGCCCCACCAATAACTGTGGCACGCTTGAATCTATCATGACCGGCTGAAAGTCGTGACCTGGAAATCTACAAACCGACAGTTCGACCGTCGCTCTTGACGATGTCCACCACGAGCTTCAGCAAGCTGAAGGCAGATGCGGTGACTGTGGCTTAATTACATTGAGAGTAGACTCACCAGCTCTATCCCGCTCCCACACCTGTATCCGGTCTGAAGACAATAGTCGAAAAGACCGGAGATGGGGGAGGGCGCAGGCGGGCGCGCCACAGCAACACCACCTTGCTTGGTAGGCTTCCAGCTGCGCGGGGGCGACATAAAGGCCAGATTAAGAAGGAGCCGTTGCAGCCTAACTTTCAGCTCGTTAGTCAGCCACTCCACACAACAAGACACACACTGGGCTGACTGTAGTGTCCGAGTTATCCCATTGTTGAAGCTTGTACACTGTCTATCCTTTTCTATTTTTGTTTACTAGT